GTGCCACTACTCCCTCCCGTCTCAGATCGGTCTCTCCATCTGGGAGCAGATGACCCTGAGCTGTAAGCCAATCCTTTCTACTAACTCTACTTACATTACTATGGAAGAAAGCTCTCATAAAAAAACCCGGCTAGGATGTGGGGTGCGTGTGTGTGTGTACACAGATTAAACTTTTTCACAGAAGGCAGACACTCCCAATGGATATTTCATTTGGTTAAAAAGTTTATTTTCTGTCACACATTCATTACAGAGGAAACAATTTCAACCATTCTTGTACGTTAGAGGTATACAAATAGCAGTCACCCAATTTTATTAAGGAAGCAGCTGACAGGCTGCAAGGGAAACTAGCAGGACTGTAAGCAGACCCCATGTTTCTGACATGGGCAGTGACTGCCATGCTTCTTTTTATCTATATACATCTATATTTTACATCTATATACATCATTATACTCTTCTCCAGTCCCAGAAAGGAAACTAGAAATTCCAGCTCCCAACAATTATTTGCTGTAGAAAAGGGTCCACATTTTTAGACCTTAATTCCTCCTCTACACTGGCTCATAACAAATCATCAGATTTTATATGGAGATCAGAAACCAAAAAGCCATGAAAGAGAAGGGAATTTCCTGACTAATTTTCAGGGGGTTTTTTCTTCCTTAGTAAGCAAGCAGTGTTAACCACTAATTTTTTGCTTATCCCTAAAAGCTAAGAAATTCATTTCTAAAATTCTTCATCGAAAGAATGCTACACTTTCAAAATCAAAACCTCAAAGTTCAAACAAAAATGCTAGAATTAACATTACCACTGCATCCAATGGGAAAGATTCTATAAAGACTAGGATTCATTTCAGCAAATTTTAGGTGTTGAAAAAGCAGGCATAACGTCATCTAAGCTTGTCATTTGGTTCAATGGACAGAGAACACGGAAGATACATGCAGGCGTAGATGATTTGTCCCTCCAGTGGAGTTCATTTCTCTTAATGACTAACTTAAGCTGTATTACTAATTTTAAAACTAAAAGCTGAACTAAGTGAAATGATCCCCACTACAACCCTTTTGCAATAATCCCCAATTAATATGTGAAGGAAGGCAAGGGAAGGAAAGGGAGCTGAAATGGAGAAAGGCGTACTGCAGGTTGTTTTGAAAAGGTTAGTTCTGTAGAATGAGAGAGAATTCTGCCTCTTCCACATAATCCTTTTCACCCTTTGTTTGCTTCGATAGACTTAGCGCTGGAGAGCACACCGACAGTGTCTGTGTTATTTCCCGAAGAAGAGCCTCTGAAGGCACTCACTCCATGGTGGAGCTCGGCTTTGCAAGCCCTTAATTCATCTCTAGGGCAGCGCAGACATGCCCACTTTAGAGAGGCCGTAAGTAACCTCAGAGCCACCATCGTGACTGGCCGCTGTAGGTGTCAGATGAGCAGCAAGAACTAAGGAATGCCACCTTTTGCAAAGAGGCACAATGAGCTCCATACTCTAGACCTTGTAGAGAAAGTCATCGCCATATGTCACCAGGGATCAGCTCCAAATAAGTAAATGGAAAAACATCTCAACAGTTATTTGTTGCTTAATATTGTCAGGAATACTTACCATGTCACATCAGCCTAGGTATAAACCATAAATCATCACGTCTCACAAAACTGACTTGGGTTACACAAAATCTATTCTAAAACCTTCTGCTGTATTCAGACGCTTCTGGTATGATATTGGAAATAACTCCATTCTTCTTTTTATTCAGGAAGAAACAGAAATAAACATAAACAGAAAGGGTAAAGAGCAGACTGACAAATATGATCACCTATGCGCATCAATCAATCTGGCAACTATGTTGTGCTATTTGTGAAAATCTGCACCGGGCCCTAGAGACAACTTCTTTACAAATGTTATTACAAGGGACAAGGAAACACCAGCTTCAATGTTTTAAATAAAACCAGGTCATTGTAGAGTCTATCATGAAAATAAAAATCCCAGATGGTCTTAAAATGTCATCATACTCCTCAGTTTAAAAGCTACAACGGCGATAATGTTAGTCTGGTAATCCTTGTCCTGCTATACCCAATCAGCCTTCATTTCAGACTACTTATGGGCTTTGCTTACCCTGAAGTGCTTGGAAAATTAACAGGTAAACCTACTGACCCGTTTTTCACACATATGACCAATAGGGGGACCTCCAATAATGTAGTTGGTTCCCTCCCTAATTTGTTAAAAACCTTTGAAGTCCAGATAAGGAGGAGCACCCGTTGTCCCCGTGTTACTGCAAAAGGTTACCAGGACAAGAACCGGCTCCCAGAGTACCTTCTTTTTTTCATAAAAGAGGCCCTTCCATTGCAGCTGGTTTCTCATCTTACTGATTACCTGCTATACGAGAAATTTCAGTCTGGCTTCAGGCCTGGACCCGGCCCAGAGGCTTCTGTCAACAGGGTTTGTTATAATTTACTTATTGTAATTCAGAATCCCATTAAACTAGGCCTTTATCTGGCTTGCTCTATTGGAAGCATTCAGTACCGTTGGTCAGTGAATGTTGGACCACCTTCAACACCTTATGAAACTTTCAGCTTGGAAGTTAACATGATGCAGACCCCGCTTCCCAAAGATGTAAGTATATGCTTAAGTCCTAATGTAATGGATGGGACTTAATACCTGCTAAAAGTTAAGCATGTGCTTATGTATTTTTATATACAGGATAGAATTCCTCCCGTGCCTACAGAAATAGAAGTGCTCACATGTTTTGGGGACTTGGAGCTTTATTTCTGAAAGAAAAGTCTTTGCTTTGTGACTGTCACTCAATGTTTTAAATTTTCTCCATGCCTTTTCTGAGGAAAAAAATGTATTTTTTCATCAAAGAATTTTCACTAAAATGTGTCAGGCTAAGTCTTGAAAACCTTAATAGAAGTTTTTAAATAGAACTGGAAAAAGTGCAACTTAAATTGAATTTTTTTCCTAGGCTTCATTTCAGGGATCAAAATCAGATCTTCTTCCATTTTCAGGCATTTCCTTAGGATCCTCTTAGTCTGCTTTACCCTGACACAAGCTCCCTAAATTCATCCAGAATCCATTTGCACTGCTCACTGATCCATAATTTGGATAATTTTCCAATAACTTATTTGGATAAATTTCCATGTCAATGAAGTTCAAGGTGAGATCCAGCTCTTGACCAGTGGAAGAGAGCTCCTCTATTGCCTGTTCCATCTCAGCACACATGGTTTATATACAAACAAAGAAAAAGACCTGTAAACTGTCTTCAGAGAAGAAATGGTTTGGAAATTATGAGTAGCAATCTGAGATATAAACGCTAGCAAGAAACTGTTAAAAACTAGAAGCTAAACTGATCAGTGTTAGTTCTAGTGACAGAGTATGAATCTTCACATAACATTCAAATTTACCATGTAAAAGGGAAAGTCAAAGGATGTAACCAATGCTAGTTAAAACCTGTCTTCCAGATGTCTTCCTTTTCATAGAAGAAAGACTACACACATCTTTTGCCTGTTCAGACTTCAGCTATAGAAGGAGAGAGCTGTCCTTCCTTTAGATAACACACACTAGCAGGAAAAAAAAACCACACACACACAAACCAAAAGCAGTGGAGAGAAACAAAACTGGAATATTATACTGCAGTAAAAAAAACTCTGAGATTAGAGGTAGTGCTTTGTAAAAAATAAGGGCCAAAAGCAGTTTCCTGAGTCTCCTAAAGGAAATATCACTAAGTTGGCTAGTCTACTTTTCATTATCGCTTCATGGTTTAGGGGTTGTTGTTTTCTCCCCACAGCCCCTCCTTTTCTTTAAAGTCTTCGGGGCCAAAATCTGTTAATGCATTTATTGTATGCTTTAGGGACATATTCAAATGGTAACAGCTTGTACGAGTGCTTTAAATTATCCCGAAGAATGCAAGCACAATTTAAGATGCTTCTGGCCTAAATCATTAATGAGGTTCCACACCATTAATGGTGGAATTCTCCTGCACAATTTACTCTAAAAAAGCATGGAATACGCATAAAAATGGATGTCCATAGTTTTGATTTTCAGAGGAATAAGGCTGCAGCAAGCTCACCAACTGGGCAGCTTTCACAAAGATCACATGTATCTGACAGAGGAGTTAGATCAGCTAAAACCAAAGAAGTGATCTGCATATATCCCTTACAGTATAACACAAGCATGCACATGTTTACAGACACACACATGCAGAACTTAGTAGCTCTGTAGGAGCTAAACTGTAGTCAAACATAACAACAACTTTAGCTTTTGGATTTCTCTCCCAAACCATTACCTCTAGAGTTTGTTAGCCTACGGATTATTAATTATGCAGCAACACAGTTAAATCTACTCAAAAAACTTCTCAAACATCATATACCACACCCGCAAAAATACACCCATAAAAACATTCAACATTTTCAAAGAGAGGACGGGCAAACTTTAGAAGGTAAACTTGTATCAACTCTGACAGGCTATAAAAATCTGGTCCTGCTGAGTACACTGCCAGCACTTAATAAATAAATCAAACAATACTAATAAAGAATGGATAGCACCAAATAAAGTGCAACTTTTGTGACATATAATATAGCAGTATTACAGCAGCCAAACATGACATACACAGAATGGACAGAACTGATTAAATAGTGTTCGCTGCATATAAAATTATTAATATAAACTAAGCAGTAACTTATACCAGTGAAATGCACAGAAACAAAGGTATCCTGTGCAATTACTCATGACTTACATGACGGCATCCCTTCTGCATACTTTGCACCACGGTTAGGAATTACGCTGCAGGAACAGGCATGTGGAAGGTAAGATGCCAGCGCTGCCATGCCAGACTACAGACTACAGTCTGCAAGCATTAAAACATTTCAGGACAGGCAGTGAATACTCCTGAAGTTTGTTAAAGGTATTCTTCCACAACTGCCATGCGCAGTACTCGGGGCTGTCATAACGCTAGTTCACACGCTTTACTGAGAAGAGGAGCACAGTTTGTCACTCACCATCGTTTTCAGCTACGCTGAGCCTGAAGAGCGGATCGGTGGTAGGGCTTGGGCAAATTGCTCGGGTGGAGGCAGGTTTCCAAAATTGTCACAGACAGAAGTGACAGAAAAAGGAGATCTAGAAAAAAATGAATGAATTACATTTTTTTAATGTAAAATTTTTGTAATGCAAAATTACAGATCCAGACAGCATTACTTCAAAAGTTCTTCAGATATTCAAAACGGGAAATTGCTGAACTGTGGGATGTAACCTGATGCTTAAATTAGTCTTGTGAGTGAACACCATAGCAAATGATCCACGTATAAACAAATAACAGAAAATATGCCTTTGTGACTGTTTTTTCCTCTGGCAGTTACAGAAGATGAAGCCTCGTGTACCAGCCTGTCCTTTCATTTGAGTACCCACCAAAGACAAGTAACCAAACAACAATCACGTAGCAACTTTTAGATTTTCACACTAATGGGTCAAAGTTTTATGGCTTATGGTTAAAACTCTCATTGTAAGCACAAATACTAGTTTGCCTCTGGTAAAATTCTGCTGTAAACCATGCCACTCTCGACTTTACCTTTCATTAAGTAAATTGCCTATTACTTCCTTGCTCTCCTTTTTATGTAACAGTCCAGACCTTACTGAAGTACATTCCACTCTTAAAGCTCTAAAGAGATTTGCCTGCATAAAGATTGAGTAGGGGTCTAGGGGATTTGAACTAATAGCTGTAACATGATAACGTTAGAAAGTTGTCAGGCTGTCAAAATGTAAAGTATTCCAAAAACTGAAGTGTGAGGGTTTAGACATTTGTTTCCACTGATATTAGGAAGAGTTACATGGCCTAAATTCTCTTATATTCCTCATAAGCGTTCACCTCACTGTTCACCAGAAACTGGAGATGACTCAGGGATAGGTTTTGAACCCCTACCCAAACCAGTAATTTCACTGACTGCAACAAAGGTATTCATGCAAGAAATTGCTCATCAGTGGGAATAACAGATTCACTGTCTGGTTCAATGTGTTGCTGAAAACACTTTGGCTAGGGCAGTACAAAGGCATTACTGTTCTCCTTTTACAGCGCAGGGGAAGACTGAATCAGAGAACAAGACGACTTTTCCCAGGACAAGAGAGAACACAAAGCAGAAGTGCTATCGTATGTTAACAGTCTGAGACTATCCTGTCCACTAATTCATTTGCCATCTTTGACTGTAAACATGAAATAGAAAATAAAAATAGGCAAACGAGACAACAAACTAAAGTTCTTGGGCTAAACTTCCCAAATTTGGCCCCAAGTGGGTTATTAACTCAGGAAAAACAATGCAGAGCGTGGAAAAAATCTATATTCTCGTGACAAAAATTTCTCAAGAACATAAATTGGCACAGCATTAATACACTTGCGTGGTATGACTGCAATAAGGTTGGAAACAATACGCGCGGAGTCCATCATCATACCAATGTGAGGAATGCAATCAGACTGGGATCTTGCGACCCTTTTGGATGCCATTGCAGAGCCCAGCAGAACAGAGATGCTTCAGTTTTTAAGACATTTAACATCTCATAGCATACACTATGCCAAGGCATATTTTTGCTAAAGGCAGTAAGAGTTTGTCACTTACTTCAGTAGTTAGTTTGGGCCCTAACTGAAAGCGCAGTTGAATTCAACGGTAGATGTGGTCCAACCCTGAAGAAGTTAATGAAAAAATGTTTTAATTATTTCAGTGGAACTTGGACCAGGGCTTTCAATCATAGCATTGGGAGAGTAGCCAGAAAACATGGGCACAAGCTACAACATATGTATTATCTTAGCTTTAATTGCATTCATTCTTCCCTATATTCATTGTTGCAAACACTCACATATGCAAAGTGCAAGTATCATTCAAGCAACTGAAACTTAAACTAGATCCAAAATCTTATTTCCCCCTCAACATAACAATATTAAGACAATGAAAAAGATAATGAAAACCAAAAAAACTATAGAAACAAAGTGACGTTATAGGTAGGGATAGTTTTTATTTTTACATTTCCTTGAGACTTTTCACCGTAAGACCTTGCTTTCAATTACTTGCAACATTGCAAAGCTACAACTGTTTGACTAAAAATTTCCCATGCTGCCTGCCCGCCTCAAACTCTGGGTTGCTTTCAGCAAGTACTTTTGTCATGGTGAATAATTAACCCAGCTTTCCTTCTTAAAAATGATGATGACTGTTATTTTTACCATTATTACAATTTTCACTTTTACACTTCTCTTTATCTAGACATCTCAGAGTGTTTTAGAACAAATGCTAGCCTCCATTTGCAGATAAAAAACCTAAGGCGAATAGATAGTTCTCTGAAGTAGCTCAGTACCAGAACCAACATTAGACTTGGTAACTGAGTAACAGGATTATGGGAGCCAGCATTTATTTCCTCATACAAAAGAATATACATGTCCTGCTGGAACATAGCTTTTCTACCTACCATCCTGCAACTTTTCGCACATTTGAGGAACTACTGATAATAGCTTATGCATATTTACATCTTTTTTCCTCTTTCAGAATTCAGCTAACAACAGCTAAAACTGCCGCATTGTTTCCTTGGCACCCCTACATCCCCCTTCTCATCATGCTTTGGGGTGTAAGTCACCTCAGTCAAGGACCGTGTTTTAATGCTGTGGGTTTCACAATGAGTTAAAGCTATTAGTAGTTGCTGTAAGTAGAGAGGTAGTTCAAAGAGCAAGTGCTGCTACAATCATTCGCACGCACTTCTTGCATCTCCTCAGATCTAAGCAAAAGGATATCTACACTAGGACAAAAATCCTAGGATTTATTTTTGACTAGAGTCCAGATCTTCAGCTGCTGCTAATTGCTTCGATTCAGCAGAGTCCTGCAATTGAAGGTCTGGCCCCAACTCTATGAAATCGCAGGAAGAAATGTTAAAGACAAGCTTGGCTCTATCACAATGTTGCCATTAAACTACCTGTAAAAGATTTTGGTAGCAAATACCAAAGGCCAAATCTTTTTGGTTCCAATTCAGCCCAGGGAAAAATAAACTTGTTTTCAATTAAATAAAATGAATGTGTGGCAGTCAAAGATTTTCAAATTCAATTCCAACAGAAACATCACTAAATACTGTAATATCTGCATCTTGGAAAAAGTATAGAAGCTTTGAAAATTTCTGGCCAGGCTAGACTTAGTATGCAATCAAAAGCCTATAGTTCTCATTGCAATAGATCCCAACAGCAGTGAGTTCCATTGCAATTGGCTCAATTTAAATATTAATATACTGAAAACTGCAGGGTTTGGGACATTCAGTCCTAAATTTTTTGCAGCCCTGTGATGAAAAACACTTGCGAGTACATTTTTTTCAGGTAAGCTTATAAAGGTTGCTCACTTTATGAGTGATTCAACATAAGATTTAATTTAAGCTGATTTGCACTGGACAGATAAAATCTGACCATTAAAAAAAAAAATCTACTATATCTGTGTCATTAGGACGGTATAGGAGCCATTTGAAAGAAACAAACACTCAAATTGTGGTATGGAATGAGTGTGGCGTGTAAATTGTTCCATAATGACTCACGGATTAGCTGGGTCTGCTTCAAACAGAGCATTCCTGAGCAGTAAGGTAAAGCTGTCTTTAACTAAGACTTATCTGGAAAAGAAAAGAAAAAGAAGCATTCAGCTGCTTATGTGGCTCGCGCTGGGATATTTTTAAGTTCCTCTTCATCATCTTGTAATGTTAGATAATTGTTTCAGCATAGTTCTGTAAGCCACTTGAATAGAGAATGTGGTCAAAATACGTCTCCTTAAAGAGTATTAGCTTACTGTCAGCAAAATATTGGTAACAAAACCACCATTTCTCTTTATCTTTCCAAGGATATTTTGAGAAGTTAAGTGATCGCTACATGCTAGACAATCATAGGAATAGAGGGAAGAAGCATTTTACATGCTGATTCCTAAAGATCACTTTAGGAAAGATGTATAACGAAAAATTAAAAGGAAAAAGCACCTCAAGATGAATAAAATCTCAGGTATCGTCTCAGAATTACAAGAAATGCCTTTGACTTCCAATCAGAGTAGGATCAGACCTAAAGGAGAAAAGAACACGAATTTCTTTTTCCATATGATGCTCAGGTAGCATCCTTTCAAAATAGACTTTTGCCCAAGAGCATGCATGCCAGTGCTCTTGTATTTTCCCCCACCTTTTTTCCTGTCTTCTTCTGAGCTTCACAGGTTTGAGGCAATAATTGAACTTGGCTCTTCAAGGGAAAAAAGTTCAGAAAAAGTTCAGCAAATCATCATCTGGCTTTGCAGTTTTACCAATTCAGCATTCCCAATGCCTGGATGACAATCAAATGCTTGTAGTTGTTACGCTTCTCTGCCATCAATAGGAAAAAACATTTAGTAAGTTTAAAAAATTCTGCAATTCTAAGATATTCTGTAGAAAACAAGAAAAAGAGGTCCTGAAAGGTCATAAACCCTTGGATACTGGTGAAGACGCTTCCACTGCTTTAAGCAAGAGGATAAGGAGAAAATATCTGAATACTTAAGCTCAAAAAATTGACTGTTCTATTTGTATAGTTTACCACACTGGAGAGGTAAATCTAGGACAGGAAACGATCTCCTGGGTTGAATCCACTTCCTCACAGTGCCAGGCACTACATCATATAACCCGTTTAAAACTGGACTAATTCTTTTCAATGAACTAAAGCACAGATATTTTGTCATCAAAAACATACTGTGCCTGAAAATACACTAACCCTTTTGCTTATTCATACATGAGCGTAATGTCTGAACTTTTCAGTTGCAGCTCAGCAGTCACTTTGATGACGAAAATGAATCAAACAATGATTCATATACGAAGCGGAGTGCATTGCATTAATTTAATTTCAAGGTGGCAAGGAAATGAATTATAATGATGAAGTCTGCATTAGGAAGAATTTTTGAAAACTCTGAGCCAGATGGAAATAGTCAAGAGCAGTATTCTGAAAAGTGCGAGACCAGCTAGAATGACTGAAAGAGAAACTGCGGAAATACATCCAGGCAGTGGCTTAGATGCAATCTTCTGGCATATCTGTAGATGCTATCCGTCGCTTTTCCAAGACTTAGTCCTAAGCTCATCCTTCTCCACCTTCTTCTCATCCTAACTGTAGGAATTTCACTTGCCTATTCTATCTAGTTCAGAAAAATACAAACAGAAGTGCAGTGAAGTAGCTCTATTGTGGATTTCTTTGAGAAGGGGCTATACACACTTCCAGTAAGAAGGGGGCCATACATATTTTCCAAAGATTTTTGGCACTGCAGTGGGATCCCTTTCAGATTTCCAGCAGCAGTCTACTTCTTCAGAAACCTTTAATCATCTCTGCTGCTGGCAAGACATCTGTTGGAAGTTTTGGAAAACCGAGAATGAAAAAGCTCATAACTCCAAAGAAATCACTAATAGAAATTGAGAAATAAAACCTGCACAGTATTACTTCAGACTTCAAAATGTGCTGATAATAAATGGAAACTGGCTAGAAACATTCTGGAATGGAAGACCTTCAGTAAGCATCTCCAGAGTTTGGCAAATTAGTCCTTATATAATAAAAATCTAAAGATCTACCTACACTTTAGCCTCTGTCTGAACCCAACAAAACTAAGAACTTACTTTGTAATCATGTAAAGAGATTCTCTTCTGTTGTCCCAAACTTATTCCTTTTCTTCACTCTTTTTCTTGCATAGTTCCTTATTCTGTATCTTCTCCAGTTCTCAAAACATCTGGTACCATGCAACTTGGGTACGCTCCCTGACAGATTTGAAGTGCAGGGTTCCCATACAATACTAGTGAAGAAGGTAAGGTTACAAAAGCGGAATCCCAAATTATGAGAAATTCAACTGCCAAAAACATCTCTTTCTTTATAGAACTTCTTGCACACCGACATCAGAAAATATGGGATGCGTGTGGTCCCTGAGAGCCAGAGAAGCGCTCATAGCACCTGGAAAGAAAAACAGATCGGCACTTGCTGGGGAAAGACCCTTTCAACCCTTGCACATGTATGAAAACCGACATTAAAATTCTGAAGAGCTTCCAATCTTCATCAAAATGGATCACATTAGAAGACCTTCATGAGCAATTCTAGACTTGTAAGAGCTTCCACATCATAAGATGTTCTCAGTCCTCTCACCACTGTTGGTTTTAGGTTCTGTAACTATGAAAAACAAGCGGTTCTAAAATTTTATCTAAGTTACGTTTATAACTAACATTTACAGTATTAAATAATTGTTTAAGCCGAATTACAGTTTCTATATAATGTGTATCATTGCTTACACTCCATTTAGATGTTGACAAGCTATAATGCTACAGCTAACTCAATGAACTTTATGAGTGTTGGACACTGAATCAAAATTTAACCCCAATAAGTAGAATCCTGTTCAGCAGAATCTTCTGTGTGTTTACACATGTAGCTCTCAGGAGAAGAGGAGGGTAAGGTCATGTGTTTCTCTGAACAGAAAAGGGAGAAGTAGCCTTCCGGTAGCAGCATCAATAGCACAAAGAAGAACTTTTCAACTTCTGGAAATAGAAATGCTTAAGAAGAACTTGCTATTTCCTTTTATTATATAAATCTAAAAATAAAAATTTAATTTCATTTTAACAATGCACAGTGGAGAAAAAAAGTGGATATAAACTGCAGATTGTTGTGGCCACGTTTAGAAACGAACCTAAAGTAGTACGTATTTTCTTTCTTAAAAATACTAAAAATGTTACTTAGATGACACAATATATACAAGTATATCCATTAAACAGGTATGTATATAAATAAACGCACACATTACCAATATAATAAACTGAACTATTTTTCATGCAGATGATAACCAGACTTGACTTATATGATATGATTTATAGCAGAGGAATAAGAACAGCAAACCTGAAAACATTTAGTTATGTGCACAACAACATGCAGAAATAGATATTTGTTAGTAGATGTGCAGCGAATATTCACCATTACGCCTGTTGTGATTCAGGAATAAAAATAAGGATTCAGTGCTGTGAGATTTTGAGATAAAGCTGGGCAAGAAATAATTTGCCTGCCCCATGCAAGTTTTAAGCATTTAAAGATTGTTACCATCCTGTACCAGGAGAAAGCCAAGACCACCACAATTTTTCACAAAAAATGGCAGAGGGAAAATGGCAGAGGGATACCCTCTGATTATTGCTCTGGCTTCCTTAGAGAAGGGAGCTCAACTTTGGCCACCAGCACTCTAGGGAGGTGCTCTATATAAGGGGCTTCAGAAGTAGCCTTTTTCAAATCTAATGAAAACTTATAAAGAGTAGGTGAGATTCAGAATGAAGCCTTTCTCCACTCCTTTCTCTCCTCTTTCCCCCCAGAATAGCCAGGAGGTCAAAGTCCTTAGATGAGAGGCTACCAAGCCTTAAGTCTTTGATTTCTAAATCAAAATGTGTTCAGAGCTGAGGTGCCAGTTCTGACTCTTTGGAGTCAGAAGGCATTTTCTCATCAGTAATGACGACTCTCATGTTTTTCACCTCCACAAAGTGTAAAATAAACCACTCTACCCTTGCTTATTACTGCTCTGGGATGCCATTCTGGATAACTCCTCCAAGGATAATTCCTCATTGGCACCTCCAGATGGCAAAGCAGGAGGAAAAAAGATGTCTAAAAATATAATCCAACGAGTCTCTCATGACAGGTCCAACTGTGCAGCCCTGTGTTTTTGACCTTTCTTGATATGTATGGTGAAATTTAATTGCTTCAGATGTGAAAAAGTAAGATGGGAGACAATTAGGGCAAGTAGAAACAGGCAAATAACGAGGGTTTTAGTCACTCTCATTTGTGTGGAGCCAGTCATAAAAGTTGCAAGCTGTACCCACTGACAGGGATGGCTTGTTTCCCTTCTGGTCTAGTCACTGCAACCGTTCGCTGATCAAAACACTGACTAAATGCCTAAAACAACCCTACTGTAAACGAAGCCCCCAAATTCACACTATACGTCTTGTACTTTTGTGTGCTCCTTAACAGCAACAACTTTCAGTTGTGTGTAACCCATGGGACAAAATAGCATTGTGTGCAACTGTTACGGAAGAGTCCTTTACAATCTCAAAAGAGACATTGCCAATCCTCTGTTAAATTTCATGGGATAATTTAAAACATATGTACATAGATGAATGGTTTAAAATTCTTTTGGATTCTGTTATAAAGACAGCATGCCATCAGTTGCAGTAACTGCTTTAACATGCAGAAAATGACAATGGATTGTGATCCCTAAAGTACAGCAGTGATGAATCACTCTGGGGGGAAAATCTTTTGTTGTTTAAACTTGCTTCCTTCATAGCGTTTGTATTCCCTAGTCCATTATTGTTAAGAATAATAATCATAAATGAGAGGCAGGTAGTAAATTGATAGAAAATTACTAAGAAAGGGAAATGATCATACACCACTTTGATTCCCCAGACAAATCAAGTATATAACTGACTTCACCTATAAAGTCTAATTCCGTTATGTTGAACTTTCTCCTAAGATACTAAATTGCGTCTACAATACGCTTATTTGATGTATTAATCTCAGTTCAAAAACATATTAAAAGCAGAAAGACTCCAAGCACTCACCTTTATGAGTGTGAAGGCTAAATAAATAAAAGTGATATATAAA